GTCTCTCATAGTTGAGGTATACCTATGATGAAAATTACAGGCCTCTCTCATCTTTTTAAGTGGGAGAACTTGCACAATTGGTGGCTGACTAAATACTTTTTTGCCCCACTGTATATAGGGCCACAGTGGCCCTATATAAATTACTGGTGAGGAAGCAGCCCATGAAGTACAAGGGGGAGATGGGAGGAGAGAAATCAGCAGTTTCTTTTGTGCTCTCAAGCTTCCTACTTCATACCCTGGTAGGCCTTTTTCTTTAAGAGAGATACAAATCATCATTAAGGAAATCTTTCCTTTTCTTTCTTCCAACCACTTCTTCCCAAACCTGCATCTCGTTAAGTCCTGCATACTTAATAAAAGATAGATAGATAGATAGATAGATAGATAGATAGATAGATATGCATGCCACCCTCCCTCTCTTCATTCTTGGAGTGAGGGCAAGCCCTCTGGATCAGCCAAAGCTTCTTTATTCCAGCACTCTGTTCCCACAGCAGCTTGCCAGATGTGACAGGAAGCTCACAAGCAGAACATCTGCCTGCTCCTATTTCTGAGCCCCCATATCCAGAGCCATATTGCCTCTGAAATTGAGGGTAAATAAAAAGACATCTGGACAGGTTTTGTCTCTCTGTCCGCCCTTCAAGGTAGTCCAGACAAGAAGCACAACCATGCCTACTAGCTCTATCTTTATTGTAAGGTTACAGTAACAGAATCTTCCAAGTCTGAAAGCACTTCTCCCCTCCCTTGCCTTTACTTTCCAGAAAACTAGAGAGGGTCCTTTCTGAAATGCTTTCCACATCCCCTCTGCTTCTGTGGGCTGAGATCCCTTCTAGTCTGCAGCTGTTCTCCTGACTCCCAAGGTCATTCTCACATACCATGACACCCTCCCACACAACTTAACGCTGCTTAATGTAACCATAGCTTAGGGGGTTAAACCAATTAAACCAATTTTCTGCACGCCCAAGGTACTTTGAACCACAAACTGAGAGAGGCTCGGTTGGGACCACATTGTGGTGCACCCAGCCACCTACTAGTCCAGAGGCCTCTTGTCAAGGCCAAATCCTGAGGAGGAACAGCAGGCAGCAAGGACCTGGCGACTCCTCAGGTCAAGATGCTCCCAGGCATCTCTCTCCCTCTCTAGGCCCACAATCTTGACAGCTGCCAAAGACGACTTCTGATCTCCCTCTTCAAAGGCGCAAGTCAGGCAGCGAGCAACCCAATCCGCTACATTTATGGCTGGCAGAGAGGCTAGCTGGTTGCAGCAAACCACGCCGCCGAGGCCCAACAGCACCCTCGGTTCTGTGTCTACTCCAGAGTAAACCTCCTTGGCCAAAAGAGCGCTTGGCGTCCCAACGGAGCTATCACCCAGCCGCAGGGCCTGACGTTCGTCACGACCGGTCTTACTCCCGAGTAAAGCGAGCAACCGACCTCAGCCGGAGCAACATCGCAACCTTCCCTTTGCAAAGGGGATCTCGGGGCCGGCCCTTTAAGCCGGGGGGCCGGAGGAAACCCCGCCGGCGCGGCGCGCGCATCGCCTGGGCCGGGGTCGGCGCGCGCGCACCCGCCGGTCCGCGGCCGAGCACAAAGACTCCGGCTCGCTGGACGACTCACCGCGCCCTTCCGTCCCCCAGGCTCCATCCGCCCGCGGGGGCCGGGGGAGGAAAGCTGTTAAAAAGGGGGGAGGGTGCCACCCCCAGCCCCTT